TATAGTCAATGTCATGAGAGAAAGTGTATGGGAACTGCTGTATGGAAAGTGAATTTGCTCTGTAAACTTTCACCCAAATCACAATTAAAAAAAAAAAAAAAGAAGTACATAAGTTACAAACAAGCAGCACTTGTAAACTGATGGAACAACACATTTTTAATTTTAATGTTTCTACTGATGATTTACTCCTAAACTGATTCACAAGTCTACTGAACCCAAAAAGGGTGAAACTAGGCTTATAATGCTGTTAGTATGAGATCAGGGTCTAGGAAAAGGGTGTTATGTCATATGTAAGAAAAGAGGTAAGAGGTTTTGTTTGTATGTTTGCCTTTTTTTGGGAGGGGGGTTTAGTTAGCTTTGTGGAAAATGTATTATGGGTTAAAGTAGACATGGAAAGCTTCAGTGACACTAGGATTTGAGAGATAGGGTGTGGTAGTTAAGTTTGTGTGCCAACTTGGCTAGGCCTGGTTGAGTGGCTGGGCAGATAGATGTGTAGTATTCCCCGTAATGAGACTGGTAATCAACTCCATGGTGGAATTTACTGTAAGCAGCTGAGTAGCTGCCTTAGGGATGTGGTCTGCTTCCCATATATAAGCAGAAGCCTTGGGGAATGGTCTCTAGCCTAAGGCATGTTTGGACCCTGCACACAGCCATGTTGTTGTTCAGCAGCCTGAATTCTTCCAACCTTGGGACTTTCAATGGACTTGAATTAATAGCCTGCCGTGTGGTTTGGTAACATCAGGACTGTGCCATTTTATGTGTTGACCTTGGGCTTGTCAGCCTCAGCAACCAGTAGCTGCTTGAGTGAAGAGATGCCTCTATCTTCAGTGAGCTGGGAGCAAGAGGCAGAGCTGAAGCCCAAAGTCAAGGGGCTTTCACACAGCCCCTAGAGCCTGGCACTTTGAACTAGGACTTCTAGCCTCCCAAACTGTAAGAGAATAAACTCCTGTTTGTTCAAGCCATCCCACTGTGGTATATTTCTGTCAGAGTGGCACTAGGTAACCAGAACAGAGGGCAATGTAGGAAAAAGGCTAAAACCTGAGCAAAGGAGAGTAGAGGCAGGAGGGCATAAGACATTTATGAGAGGATGTGCAGAGCACTGTGGCCAGGGCTGAGGACCAGGCTTTCAGACTTACAGGGAAGATGGTTGGTATTCGGTGAAAACAGATCTCAGGTGCCAGGACAGGTAAATGAGCTGAGCAAGAAGTCACTTGGCAATTGGAAAACCATGCTTAAAGACCTACATCTTTGGGAATGATTACAGATGACTGCAATGTACGGGCTCTGAGATGAGACCACAAGCAGGGCAGCTGTTTTTCAGGTCATTGTAGTGATTTAGATATGAGGAAGTAAAAGTGCTTAGCCTGAGAAAATGAAATAAGTAGGTAATAAAAGAACTGACTCTCTTTCCCTTCCACCTTCCCCTAAAGCCTCCTTTGAATGTTCCTAACTTCTGTCAATGCCACTGCTCTTATCCCGGTTTTCCAGGCTTGGAATATCATTGTTGGTTGGAGATTCTTCTCTCCCTGCCCCTCAGTTTAAAATCCAATTGCTGAAGTCTTGTCAATAGATAGTCCCTTATATTACTCTCTCAAATTGCCCTATTCCAGACTCTCACTAGCTCAGGGGAGGAAGAGGCAGTAGCTCCCCTGTGTCTTGAATCTGTCTCTTGAAGTCCTATCTTAAAGTCAAAATCTTCAAGAGTGCCCTGTTAGCACCTTTAGAATAAGAGCTAAACTCCTCAGCCAGGCATTCAAACCTTGGCACGTATTGACATTTGGGGCAGGATAATTCTTTGTTGTTGGGACTGCTTGTGCATGGTAGATGTTTACAGCAACTCTGGCCTACACTTGAGATGCCAGTGGCTCCCCCTCACCCTCATTGTGTGACAACCAAAATGTCCCCAGACATTGTCAAATGTTCCCTGGCAGGCATAATTCTCCCTGGTTATGAACCAGTGATCTAGAGACTGGTCCACCTAACCTTCCCTAAGTGACCATCATCGCTTCCTTTCACCTATACTTTTAGACTAACTAACCAAGCCCACTGGTCCCCAACCATGCTCTGATTTCCTCTTTGAATGTCTTTGTTCCACTTAAAATACTCCCCTTTCCTCACTGTCATTTTTTTTTTTAAGGTGTTATATACCAATACCTGGCTACTATTTAAGGGCCAACAGAAATGACACCATTTCCTCCCATATTCCTCCTTGATTCCTTCTCTTTGTACTCCTTGACTCCAACTGGAAGCTAATTTTGAGGTTGCATAGTACATTATCATCACTTTTCCCATTGCTGGCACATCAAACATCACTTTCTATCTTGTGTTAGAGTGGATACACCTCACATCTCTGCTACTAGGTAGCTGGTACCCTGTCTGATTCATACTTATCACCTCCACAATGCTTAACACAGTTATTTCTGCACACTAAGGGCACACTAGGAACTCATCAAATGAAAGTATAAGTGAATATGTGGCTGTTATAATTTGGGAAACATTTTCAGTCAGTATGAGTGGAATAGAAGTATTGGGAAAACCTTCTACTCTTGATGGCTTGGAAAAGCTTGCTTCCTTTTGTTATAGTCATATACCTGCCTAGAGCAGAAGAGACAGCTTATAAGTAAAGCTTGGTAACCGCAGAGTCTTTGATGCTGTAAGGTGTTGAACCCCAGGGAACTGAAGAATGGGGAGAACAAAGCTATAAATTGCATAAGAAAAATAATCTAGTAATTGAGTTATTCAATGTATACAGGCATACATCATTTTATTGTGTTTTGCTTTATTGTGCTTTGCAGATATTGTGCTTTTTACAAGTTGAAGGTTTGTGGCAGCCCTACATCAAGCAAGTCTATCAGTGCCATTTTTCCAACAGCATGTGCTTATTTTGTGTCTCTGTGTCACATTTGGGTAATTCTCAAAATATTTCAAACTTTTCACAATGCTATTTCATACACTATTGTTGTTGTTGTGTGCCATCAAGTCAGACCTGACTCATAGCGATGCCTCCTTGGGTTTCTGAGGCAGTATCACTACAGAAGTAGATTGCCCCATCTTCAATACCTAGACTACAGTAATGTGTAAACATAACTTTTATATGCACTGGAAAATCAAAAAAACTGTGTGGCTTACTTTATTGCAGTATTTGGTTTATGCAGTGGTATGGAACCAAACCTGCAATATCTGAAGTATGCCTGTATTGTTTTCTGTGCCCAAGCATAGCCAAAGCAAGACAAGTTTGTTGTGATGCAGGTCAAATTGTATGAGGTGTGGTGTTGCTTTTTTTTTTTTTTTTTTGCTTTATTCCTTGGAGCTTTACTCCTCCCTTTAAAATTTATCTTGTATTTCTCTTTCCCACACTCTCTCATTCCAATGTTCCCATGAATCTTCCTCCTCCTCTTCTCCCTCCAGACCCTACCTTATGAAAATTTGCCAATTTATCTCTTCATTGGAAAGCAATCTCCAAACGTTATAGGTTAACAGACCCTTACTGTGTTCAAGGTTCTAAGATTACACCTAAGTTAAGTGATTCAGTAGAAGAACTCACAGGACTCAGCATATAGGCATACCAATGGCTATGATTTATTACAACAACAACCACAGAAATAAAAATAAAAAGCAAAATCACAAAAGAGAAAAGTGAATGGGTCAAAGTCTAGAGGAAAGCAGGTTCCAGCTTCCAAGAGTACCCTCACCTTAGAGTCACATACCAAAACTCAACCCAACCCACTGCCACTGAGTTGATTCTGACGCACAGTGATCCTAAAGGACAAAAGAGAACTGCCCCACAGGGTTTCCAAGCCTGTAAATCTTTGTGGAAACAAACTGCCACCTTTCTCTCATGGAGCAGCTTGGGGGTTCAAACCATCAACCTTTTGCTTAGCAGCCAAATGCTTTAACCACAATGCCACCAGAGCTCCTTGGAGTCATAGTGAACATGTTTAGTTCCTCCTGCACTGAACTATAACAACACATGTGAAGTTTTGTCTACTAGAGAAGCTCACTTGAGTGTAGGAGTCTAAAGTTTCTATTGGGAGTCAAGTCACATAGGCCGCTTCTGGTACATAGCACATACCAATGTTCCAGACTCCCAGAAGTAAACCAAGTATTCAGCATAAGCCGTGTTGTGTGCACAAACATTTAGGTTCAGTGAGCCATTCTTACCTATTCTGGCAATGGTGGGAACCTTCCCAAAATCTGGGTTCCCAGATGCCAGTCAAGGACTAAACTGGCAAACAGGCCTTTTTAAAGATAGCAATCTCAGGCCTGCTATGTTAATATTTTTTCCATACACTTATAATGGGAGCTCTGGTAGCTGCATGTTGCCTAAGGCATTTGACTGCTAACCAGAAGGCTGACGGTTCAAACCCACCAGTGCCACTGCTCAGAAGGAAGACTGGGTGATCTATTTCCATAGTGATACCACCTAGGAAATCCAAGGAGGGATCGCTATGAGTCGGATCCAACTTGATGGCAATGAGTTTGTTTTTTGGTTATGATGTATGTTTATAATTTTAACAAAACAAAAAACAAAAAAAACTTCTATTGAGTCAATTCCAACTCACAGAGACCCCCACTGGGTTTCCGAGGCAGCGCATCTTTACAGAAGTAGATTTCTCCATCTTCCTTCCATGGAGCAGCTGGTGGGTTTGAACTGCCAACCTTCTGGTGAGTAGTCAAGTGCCTTAGGCACTGCGCCACCAGACATCTTTAATTTTAACAAAGGTAGTGGTTAATTTAGGCTGTGGTTACTCTGGCCCCCTCAGATACTAGGCTTTAAAGCCTGGTAAAGGCTGGTGGTTCAAACCCACCAGCCACTCCTCAGAAGGAAGGTTGGGCAATCTACTTCCATAGTGATACCAGCTCGGAAACGCAAGGAGGGGTCACTATGAGTCAGGTCCAACTCCATGGCATATAACAACAGCAACATTCTTCAACTGGAAGTACTTTGGTAGGCCCATGAGCAGCCTCTTTATGATTTCTTCAATGTTCTATACAAATATAATTTTCTGTGGGGGCCATGATATGGAAAATTGGTAAGCATGACTCCCTGATAACTTGCTTAGTAAGGAAAGTTTGATTTGCCTCAGCGAACACTGGTTTTCATGGCTACTTGAAAAGTAACTCAAATGCCAGGGTTAAGATTATCTTCAATGTTGCACTGAAGAACTCACTGTCAATTTTCATTTATTTTGCTCAGAGTACTCTTCCAGTCTTCCCCAAAGGAAATGAAATCCAACTTAAGGTATTGAATATAGGAAATGATAACATGACTATATCATTTTCTGGAGAGAATGAGATACTTGGCGCAATGGCTCAAGTAAGTCGAATGAAATGTAACTTTCTTTTTTTGTTTTCTGACTTGATTTATAATAAGATTTGGAAAACTTGTTCTTCTTGGTCTTTGTATAAATCTCAAGCTCCGCCCACACACGAAACGTATCTTGATCTTATTTCATTTGCATGCTAGACTAGTGTGCCTCAAACTTTAATGGTTATAAGAATCACCTGGGGAGCTTGTTAAACTCCAGATTCTTAATTAGTAGTTCTAACATTCTGCACCTTTAACCAGTTCTCAGGTGAATGTTGCTGCTGGCCCATGGAACTACATTTTAAATAGCAAGGATCTAAGTCAGTGGTTCTCAACTGAGGGTGACTTTTTCCCCCAAGAAACACTTGGCAATCTCTGGAGACATTATTGTTGTCATGATGGGATTGTTCTATTGACATCTTGGATGCTGGTGAACATCCAACAATTCACAGGACAGACCACAACAAATAATTCTCCAGACTAAAATGTCAGTAGTGCCATGGTAAGGTTAAAAAGCCCTAATCCAGACCGTTGGTCAGGATCACTGGTACCTAGTGGCATCACTAGGAGAGTTTAAAACATTCTGATGCCTGAGTATCAACCTTGGAGATTTTGATCTAATAGTCTTATACCTGGTCAGCCAAGATTGAGAACCACTACCTTAGATCTTGCCAAACTTATAACCTTGAACTAAAAAATGAAAAACTTTGCCTCCTGGGGTATGGGGCAGCCCAGTATTGCTTTTCAACAGGCTGTTGCTTTTCTTTTAATGCTGGTCTTTGCCTCATGGTAGAAATAATTTCTACAGCATTTATCTTCATAAAATAATGATGCATGATGAAAAGCATAATTTCTGTGGTAATCCTAAAATACTTCATGACAGAGTCCATAATGGTAGGCAAGTGGCTTAAGTACAAAAATGCAAACCCCCAAAACATTTCTCGATGAGTTTTGAATGTTAAATACCATACCCTATAGTTCAGTTCCACATTACAGAACAAGAATCCAGAGAGACTTCTATGTTATTAACTATGACTCCTTTTCCCTCATCTGTAGACAGATGAATTTAGGACTTTTGATGTAGACAAACTGCCAAATATAAGTATTTCTTCTAATGGATCACAAGACACTCCAGTAACTCATACTTTTGAAGGGGGCCATCGCCACACCCTTCTCATATGGGCCCCCAACCAGTACCGAGTGGTAAGTAGTTGGGGAACTACAACTGACTTTTTACTATTTATGATATTGGTGACACAGCTTCTTAGTGGTGTGACTTTGTTTTACCCCTATGTATTATGAATTTAGATAATTGTTAGTTTCTTTCTTCTTCAATAATACAAAACATTTAATTTCCCAATGAAAGTTTGACTAATGAATGGAAAAGGAAAATATTAATTATAATTTCTACTGAGTGGAAGATTAGAGCAGTCTCTGAAAAACATATAGTGAGTATATCAGGTGAAAGCAATAAACATATATAAAATAAGACTTCATGACAAAATACAGAAATATAGATATGTCATAAAAGAGACTGTCAGCACATAAAGAAGCTATAAAAGTATAATTAACTAAGTGAAGGAGCTACAAGTATTCTGTAAGGTTGAATTTAAGTGAATATCTGCAGAAGTCCAATTAAAACTTTCTTGGGCATGTGTTTAATTAGGGAGGTGTTGAGTGATATCAAAAATTTTAGAGGCTCATGTTAATCTCAAGGAAGACCAGGGTTGAAGAAATAGAACTCTTCAAATGTAATCATTATGCCCTTAGCTCCCATGATAAATGTCAACCTCACTCTCCTTTTCAAAGTCTGAAATGTTAATCTGAATTTATTCTAATTAATTAGGTTTTGAAAATGTTTTTATACCTTCCCTTCTCTTAGGTAAAGGATGGCCTTAACAAGAAGCCAGAAAAAGGAGAAAATGGAATAAGGTATGTTTATTTCTTTAAAACTTAAAGGAGTATCTTATGGAAGTAATGCATACCCATAGAAAAGTCCAACTGTAAGAAATATGTAAAATGAAAGTATGTGCCATGAATGTAAGGCTGATTTAATAGTCAAAAACATCAATATAATCCACCATCTTGTACACTAAAGAGGAAAATCTACCTCTGCACATCAATTAATACAGAAAAGATGTTTGATAAAATTCAGCATCCATCCCAGTTACAAACTTGCAGTAAATTAGAAATAGGATGGAACTTCCTTACCCTGATAAAAACTCAAAAAAACTCACTGCCATCGAGTCAATTCTAACTCACAGAACCCCTTTTGGGTTTCTGAGGCAGTAAATCTTTACGGAAGTAGACTGCCCAGTCTTCCTTCCATGGACTGGCTGGGGGGTTTGAACCACCAGCCTTCTGGTTAGCAGTCAGATGCCTTAGGCAGTATGCCACCAGAGCTCCTTTACCCTGACAAAGGGCATCAAAAAAAAAAAAAAAAGCCCAACCCAACTTTGTCCTTCATGGGGAAGGTTTGAATGCTTTTCCCCAAATGTATAAAATATTTGGGCATTCATATTCATAGAATCAGGAGCAAAATAAGGTTGTCCACTCTCACTACTCCTACTTAGCGTCCATCCAGAAAACCTAGCCACTGAAATAAGACAAGAAAAAGAAGGAAAAAGAATTCAAATTGGAAAGGAAGAAATAAAGCTATCCATACTCACCTTTGACATGACTGTCCACATACAAAGTCCCAAAGATATATGAAAAAAGGCTCATAGAATCAATATGTGAGTTTAGAAAGGATAAAAGACCAACATTAAAAAAAAACTATCATATAGCTATACTAGCAATGAACAATGGGAAGTTAAAATTTAAAACCATACCATTTAAATTATTCCATAAAAATGAGATATTTAGGTATAAGTCTAATAAGCACATGAGTGCTGAAAATTAGAAAACATTTACAAAAGAAATCAAAAAAGAGCTAAATAAATTGAGAGACATATTGTGTTCACAGATTAGATGTGACATAGAGATACAAAGTGAGCACATGCTGCTGGAAAAATGGTGCCAATAGACTTGCTCAACTCAGGGTTGCCACAAACCTTCAATTTGTAAAAAATGCAGGATCTGTGAGGGTCATTGAAGTGAAGCACAATGAAAAGAGGTTTGCCTGTACATTGTTGGCAAATGCAAAATGGTACAGTCACTCTGGAAAACAGTTTGGCAGTTTCTTGTAGCATTAAACATACTTTTACCATATGACCAGCCACTCCACTGCTAGATACTTTCTGTGTTGTTGTTGTTGTTGTTATGTGTCGTTGAGTCAGACCCGACTTACAGTGACCCCTCCTTGGGTTTCTGAGGTCCATCACTGCCGAAGTTGATTGCCTAACCTTCCTTCCGAGGAGTGGTTGGAGGGTTTGAACTGCCAGCCTTCTGATTAGCAGTCAAGTGCCTTAGGTACTACTCTACCAGATACTTTCTGTAGTGACAGGCAAACTTATGTTCACAGAAAAACATGTACATGAATGTTTATAGAAGCTCTATTCATAATTGCCAAAGGTTGGAAATTACCCAAATGTCCTTCAATAGGTGAATGGATAAGCAGATTCTAGTACATCTAAAAAAGGAGCTCCAGTGGTTCAGTGATTAAATGCTCAACTGCTAACCAAAAGCTCAGAGGTTCAAACCCACCAGCCACTCCAGGGAGAAAGATGAGGCACTCTGCTTCCATAAAGATTTACAGCCTTGGAAACCCTATCCAGCAGTTCTACTCTGTTCTGCAAGGTTGCCATGAGTTGAAATCACTATGAGTTGGAATCAATGACAGCAAGTTTTCCATGTGCAATGCTGATTCTAAAAAATAAATCTATAAACAAGATTTACAATATTATATAAATATTATTCATAACATAATAAAAGTGCAATCAGTCTGAAGAGAAGGAAATGTAACTTTATGTCCTTGAAAATTTGTCCCTCAAATGAAAATGTTCTGAATGTCAAGATTAATTGGAATATCCGGTTATATGCCATAAATTTTTCAGTGGCCCACTGTCTTGATTGCTTTAATTTAATCAAGAATTATTTTATACACAGCTTAGTTTTTTCCCCCTGTAATTTCCCATTGCCTCCTATTGACAAAAACATTTACCTGATCACTAACATGACCAACTTCCTAATTATACTCTGATCCAAAGACTCTACTTTTCTCTCTGAAAATGAACTTTTTGGCATGTAACTGATGTGTTACAGAATAGAACTGTTCCATAGGGGGTTTTGTTTATTTTGTTCTAACTTTTTATTGTGATTTGAATGAAATTTTACAAAACAGATTTGCTTTACTTTCAACAGTTCATATACATTTTGTTTTGTGACACTGATAATAATCTCCACAATGTAACAGCTCTCTTTCCACTTCCTCCCCACAGTTACCCTTTCCCTGTGTCCTTCTTGCTTATACATTCCTGCCTCCCTGGTTTTCTTTGTCTGTCCATATCTATAATGATCTGTCCACAGTGCTCACCATCAGTATGGTCCTTTAGGCAAACAGCCCAACTGATTTCATGTGAAGTTTAGGCACAGGAACTTTGCAGAGACTGGAAGCCTTGGGACCTGATACTCATTCTTTTTGGGTATTCCAATTCTGAGTTGTATTCCAGCAGAAAGGGGTGCTTGGCTAATGTTATTCTAGGACCTGTGTACATAGGTCACCTTCTTAGATAATATCCTCAAAACTGTCTCTTACTGTTGGCTTGGCCTGTTTCTTCCTAACCAGTCCTTGGTGCTCCTTCCTGCATTAGGGTCCTGGAGGTAAAGGAAATCAATAGTCTTCCCTCCCTGTGCCCCCTGGCTGGGGGCTGTGTTTTAGGTTCAAGGCAATTTCTTCTTTTGGTCCTTCACTACTTCAGCTCTGAAACTTCTGAAGCAAGAAACTCAAAGTCATCACTGCCTTCTTGAAGGAGAAGGGAAATCAGTACCTATGTCAATCCCTACTTAATATTCAAAATATCACTGAACTAGTTAGCATTTACAAGAACTCAGAATAGCATTGGCAAATATAAACACCGTGCTTCATAAATTCTATTAGGTGTGTTCTCATGAGCAGGTGAGCAAGAGCAAACCTAGAGTTGCTGCCTGTATAATTCAGAAATCTTCTGCAAACCTCTTACGTTAGGAGTTCTGACAAGATGGCAGAATAGGCAGATAAGCTACAGAGACCCTTGCAACAAAGCAATGAGAAACCAATTGAAACTGATACAGAAGACAATCCTGGAACCAGAAGACGATCCTGGAACCCTGAACTTTGAAGGCAAGGGTAAAGAAGTGGATTAAATACCAGATAGTAGAAGAATATGAATTAAAACAGTAAGCAGGGAGACAAACAGAGCTGCGGACTGCCAGCTGTCCTGAGGGCACAGCCATTTTTTATTATTTTCCAGTAGCAACCTAAGAATGGGCTCTAGTCACTAAAGACTGTATGGGCAAGGACTGCATTGGTGCCTGACAACCAGAAAGGAAAATAGAAAAGAAGGAGACAAAGAGACCTGTGACTGCCAGTGGCCATCCTGAGGGTACAGCTGTTTTTAATACTCCCAAGCAGCAGGCACGACCATTCTAAATACATGCAAGTGGTGTTCTTACCTGGACAGGGACATAGGAGTGGCCTCTGCTTGTCAAGGACAGCATTGGTGACTGCACTGGAGGCTGACAACTGGAAAGTCATTAAACATAAATACATCACCACAGTGTCTTGGAGACAACAGACCATCACAATCCATACAAAGAAGCAAAATAAAATAGTAGAAATGAGAGACCAGGATACAAACCCAGAAGATAACACTGAGGAAGAAGCAGCACTGGAACTGCCTGATAAGGAATTCAAAAGAATTATATTTGGGTACCTTCAACAGATTGAGAAACAAATCAAAGAACATTGACAAGATTAAAGAAAACACTGATGAAATTAAGGAAAACACAGACAAAACTCTAGGACAATTTAAGAAAACAATATAAGAACAAATCAACAAACAAATAATTAGAAACAAAACAAAAACAACAAATTGAAATCCAGAAGATTAATACTAAGATTTCAGAAACATAACACGTTGAATGGGCAAAGGAGTAGAATCGAATCTGTGGAAGAAAGAATTGATGAGATTGAAGACAAATACCTCAATACTACTTTGTTAAGGAATCAGTCAGAAAAAAAGATCAAAACAAAATGTAGAAAGCCTAAGATTCATGTGAGATACCATCAAGAAGAATAACCTACATGTAATTGGAATTACAGAACAGGAAAGACATATAGAACCACAGAGAAAATTGACAAAGATTTGTTGGAAAAGAATTTCCCTAATATGATAAAAGATGAGAATATATCCATTCAAGAAAGTCAACAAAGTGCAAACAGGATAGGCCCCAAAAGAAAATCACTAAGACATATTACAGTCAAACTCACCAAAAACCAAAGACAAAGAAACAATCCTGAAAGCAGCTCAGGAAAAATTAAAAGTTACCTATAAAGGGCAACCAATAAGACAAAGCTCTGATTTCTTGGCAGAAGCCATGCAGGGAAGAAGGCAATAGGACGATAAATATGAAACCCTAAAAGAAAAAAATCTCCAACCAAGAATTATAAACCGAGCAAAACTGTCCCCCAAATATAAGGGTGGAATTAGGAGACTTCCAGATAAGCAGAAATTAAGGGTATTTGTTACAGCCAGACCAAGCTTACAGGAAATGCTACATGGAGTCCTTCAGACAGAGAACCAACAACAGAAAACAACTGATGAATAACACACATGATGACATAACCCCAAAATCAACCTAGTTAAAGAGGTATCCAAAGTAATATAAGTTTACAAGACTTTAAACAGGGAACCAGAGACATCAATTGGTAGATGAGGACAACTACAAACCAAACAGAGGGAATAAATAGTGTATAGAACTTCTAAATGGTGAGCAAGTCAAGACAATTGCAA